TAAAAAGAGAGAGAAGACTAATTAAGTAATATAATTTATAAACGGATGAATTGAAAATAGTTAATAATAGAAACACATTATAGGAAACAAACGCACAAATAATACAGCAAATAAACAAACTGAAAGACGTATCAATAGAAAAGAAAGACGGAAGGAAGAACAAGGAAGAAACGACTACTTAGCAATATATTTTCCAATCTTGGTAAAAAAAAAAAAAAAACTCGACACACAAACATGATTCTTTGGCTGAGTAGATTCAATAAGAGGAGGTTTAAGGAACTCGACTCCCATCTCCCGATTGTATCAAGTAGAAACCAAACACAAATCTACGCTTCGTCAGTGGATCGTAACTGGGCTTCCACATGTCTTCCCTTACGTGAGACCGTATATGACTCACATTAGTGGCGACACATACATGGATTCTCAAAGATCCATACGTTAATACTTTTTCTCCTTAACTGGATTATTTAATTTATCACAGAAGCTCAGTCCCAAAGGTTCGTACAACGAATTTATTCCTTGAATAACTTGAAAAACCGTGTCTATTGAATCAAGACACAAAAGTAGATTATCTTTGGTCCGTAAGATAATTTCTTCCCAAGCTGCCGGTTTAGTAAGTAACGGTAGCCCCTGAAAAGACTTTTATCGTCATATTTTGATGTAGGTAGAATCTTGCCAATATTTTTAAAAGTTTCTCCTCAGCTGAACTTTCATTTGGTTCGTTCAAATGACTTACAGTCTCTCTCTGCATGGGAAGATGCCAACGTACTGTACATCCAACACCAAACAAAAGTGATAAATCCAAATGTACAAATACAGCTCAATTTGCTCCATCTTAAAACCAACAATTTTGAAACGGTACTCAATACCTTAATTCATGAACAATATGGCATCCACACTGGACATTTTACTGTTGGTCTTGTAGCATTACTTACACATTCAGTCCACCAATCAATAGATTGTAATGGTTAAACCCCTACAGTAGCCCTTGACATCTCCCAAGTTTGGTAACAACCCTTACCTGCAAAACTGTTCTCTTATGGCCTTTCTTCCTGAGTCCCGCGGATTTCTTCTTTTCAGTTTGGTCGCAGGGTGAGTACAGTTCAAGGCAGCCTTTCTTCTACCTATCACCTTATTAAAACCGGAGGTCCTCAGAGTTCCACTGTAGTGTTGTCATGTTTTGTAGTGTTATATATGGGCCAAATTCAGATTGTGATTAGAGCTGAACAAATTCTTCCCAAAATGCCGCACCTGTCCGACAAAGGCTGTTCGCGTTTAAAGCCGGCTCCTAAAGCTAATACCTTGATTTAGGGCGCCTGTGTGTGCCCACTAGCGAATGAGGGGAGGTCTACAGGTAATGACGTCAGGGAGTGCCAGGCGACTGGTCCAGGACAACTGCATTTTCGTTGGCACGCTTGAGAATGAGATAAGGTGTGGTGGTGAGGTTGTAAGGTAGGGCCTGGCCGAGTGTGTTTGTTGGGTCCCATTGTTAGCTGGGCGCCTACCGGTCTGATTTCCCCGGTGGCCTTGGTGCTGCTACTGAGGCTGCTTTTGTTACTGTTTTTAAGGTTGTTGCCGGACATTTTGTTGCTGCTTCTATGGGGGTCATCTATTGCCTCTGCTGAGGTTGTTGACCTTGTTGGTATCTGCCGACTTCTTGCGTGGTCATTGCCTCCGCATGTGGTACCCATAAGCGGGAAAGTGAACGTCCGCTTTCTCCACCATCAATGTCGATAAATTAACCTTGTAGACCTGGAATTGCTCGATGAGTTCTGGAGAGAACGATTTCACCATCTGCGTGCACACCATCAGATCCCGAATTCCTTCTACAGAGCGGGGAGTCCCATCCTTTTTCATCCACTAGTCCAAGTAGCCAGATTGTCGTGGCATGAACTATACAACCGTCTCCTTATCTTGCAACATTGACCTGTTGAATAGTTGCTTGGTATCCTCAGTAGTCAATCCATATGGTCTTAGTATTGCAGACTTCATGGCATAGAAGGTCCTTTTGGCTCCATTCATCCGATGAAGAATTTCTGTAAACTTATTCTCGAACAGACGTAGGTACAGTACTGTACTGTAGTTTCTTAGTGACTTCATTGAATTTATAGAGATCTGAGAGATCCTCGTACCACGTAATATACTGCTGGATGCGTTATAGTCTGTGAAGATGGGCAACTTACAAGTCAAGTTCGGAGAGGGAGTTGTCAGGTGAGCGGAATTTTGACCCGTTGTTCTCCCAGGCCTGTTGGTGCTTCCATTCCCTTTCTGCCTTCTGGAATGGTAGCTGGGTAATGTGTTGTTCTTGTTCATATATCTCTTGTTTTGCTCAAGCTCTTTCTCCCTCTCTTCGCGCTCTCCCTCACCTACGAAATCACTTTTCTCCGACAGTACTTTCAGATACTTAGCTTATCATAGGACTGGGTTATGAATCTTTAATTAAGTTCTCTGTAGATTTCGGTCAACCTGTAAGGACGTTACGTTGAGGTGTAAACGGGAATGTTTAAGTAAAAACACAATAGCTTGGTGGTCATGTTAGACATGTCCTCGCTCGGGTCGTGTAAGCGGCTCTGTCTTCTTGCTCGAGCAGCCAACAGCTCTTCTCAGCCCAAAAACCCGCCAAAATGACGTCACTGTGACGTGTTGTCACTCAAACGTAGCGTTCTTTTTATTTTTTGTAAAATACAACGGTATTTTATTATTAGTTCATTTATATGAACTAATTTACCAAATTTAAAGTACAGTAGTTGGCGATAAATAGTGACTCGTCTCAACTTGGCGAAACCATCTGATGGCCGCTTACGTTCATCAGACTAATTATTTATGAGTAATAAACCCTCACCACTATGTGTATTTCCATACAAGTGAATCATAGATAATATTAATTATTGCAAGAAATTCATGATCTGCCCCTGACAAGAAGTCTATTTCACGTTGAATTCACACAGAAACCCGCCGCCTGAATATCCGAATGTGTTTTAGTGATCCGCGAGGTAAGTTGCTACAAGGGCTTTATCTACATTTTAATATTATTACGTGGAATTATACAAAATAATTTCCACACTCCCATTCCTTTCCTGCCTTTTGCATTTCTATCTGGGCCACGTGTTCATGTTCACGTTGTCTGTCTTTAGGCTCACCCTGCCTTTATTTATTACCACGTGTATGCTCATGTTGCCTGTGTTTATGCTCACATTGCCTCTTTTTGTAGTTAGCATTTGAACATATATCAAAGTGGTCATTTTAAAGGAGCATTTAAAGAAAAACGAATTGCATTGAATGAAAGATATATTGATACAATACCAATATGCATATCATATAGTGGAATTAAAAACAAAGCCAAAACAAATCACCTCTACTCAAGTAAAAATCAAGAAGATAACTCAGAGACGGGGATGAATTCCACTGCCAAAACTTGTTACTAGAGGAGTCACAACTACTGATGATCATCATTACATAATACCAAGAAGCTGTTAATAAGAAAACACAAACGAAATGATGATTCGATCCACAGAGTTTTTCCAAGTCACTGTAAGGAAACGAGTCTGAAGGAACTAATGGTACGGACGAACTGACAGATGGAAATAACAGTGCACAGTATATACCATGTGCTGTGGAAGAGACATTAAAACTGGGTGTAGATCCGAATTCAAAAACTATATATAATAGTGAATTCATATTCAGAAAATATAGTGATGATAAAACCAATTATGACAATCAGAACGCATGTAGTGTTGGTGTCATGGGTTGCGTAAGGCTTACCCACGCAACCAACTCCAAAGTTTGTTTTACCAGAGATAAGACGCCCGGCGAGGCATAACTGGGACATATATTTTTCAATTAGTGTATGTTAGCCAGCCTTTAGAGGGGTGGGCAGTGGAACAGTGTTGTACTGTTCATCGCTTCACACCCAAAAACCTCATTTTAAGGAGTATCCCCTGAGCCATGGGTTAGTTAAGACGTCGTCCCCATCCTCTCCCTCCTGAAAGGGGGCGGGACACCACACCACACAGAGTCCTTCACCGCCACTCAGTCCTGTGAACCGTCGTCGACACGAGACTAAGTGTGCTAACCTAGGTTGTTATCCCCGTGGAAATATCACGTGTGGAAGTCTGGTTGCGACAAGAGCAATCCAGGCTGGCCTATCAAACCTACAGTAAATGGTTAATTAATTCACGCTTACAGAGTTCTCCTGCACGATACCCGTCTACAGTGACCGTGATCGACACGAGACTAAGTGTGCTAACCTAGGTTGTTATCCCCGTGGAAATATCACGTGTGGATGCCTGGTTGCGACAAGAGCAATCCAGGCTGGCCTATCAAACCTACAGTAAATGGTTAATTAATTCACGCTTACAGAGTTCTCCTGCACGACACCCGTCTACTGTGGCCGTGATCGACACGCGACTAAGTGTGTTAACCTAGGTTGTTATCCCCGTGGAAATATCAGGTGTGGAAGTCTGGTTGCGACAAAAGCAATCCAGGCTGGTCTATTGGTTAATTCAAGTCACGCTTACAGAGTTCTCCTGCACGACACCATGTGTGGTAACCCAAGAGTACTTTTTGTTGCTGTGGCCCGTGGAAAGAAGTCCTTGTGCGGAAGCCTGGTTGCAACAAAAGCAATCCAGGCTGGCAGTAAATGTATCACTTGAAGAATTAAGGCTCTGTTAAGTTATACCCATAGTAGAGTAATCACATGTGTCCCCAAGTTAAAATTCTCTTTTAGAAGATTAATTTTATTACAGCGTGAACGTGAGTGAATCATATACCCATGCAAATTGTAAATCATTGTATGGAAGCTTGACAAATAAATGTAAGTGCAATTATCTGCCCGTATCTGTGATCCTATCTTATTATTACTAAAGGTAATGACTGATTGGTTATGACAAAGTATAACCAGTGACTTAGATGGATGTTGAAAATTAAATGAATTCATTAAATCATCATTTATCAAGTATAAATCATGGAATGTCGAGTGGTGGAGTGAACTTCTACGTAGATACGCCATAATCTCCTGTAAGTAATCAGTGTGAAGGTATCGGACTCTACGGTAAGAAATAAGAAATACGACATAATATTATCTTTATAAAATATAATCCCCTCCTACCACTACCGAACCACCCCAAAACCATGACAGTTGGCTTTAAGATATTCAAAAGATAGTGTAATACCAATTTCAGTCATGGTAATCAGAAACGGTTCGAGTAACAATAAATCCAGATATAACAACCAGAAACGGCATTTTAATAAATACAAGACTGACAATCAGAAAAATGTATCCATTAATATAAATTTATACTTTTACATTAATAATTTATTTTGTGATGATCAAAAGATACAGTATGTAGTGATGGTATCATGACAATCAGAAAATAAAGTGATGGGAGTCAGGCGGTCAAGCAGGATGGAACAGGGGCAGAGATAACTGGGTGGTGGTGAGTCAGGCAGAGAGGCAGTAGGTGTGTGAGTGGTAGGAACAGGAAGCCCACTACTTCAGCTTGTTGCTTAAACACATATGCCTTCAGCGTTGTCTTGTATCCAGTTGAAGAAGGCTGTAACGTGTGAATAAGTAGAATTTGCAAAAGTAAGACAAACAATATAATATTTTACCCTATTAATAGATTTGATAAAAAAAATCATAATATTTACACAGGGTTTGATAAATAATCCATGATGGCTGTTTGTATAACTTATCAAATTATGAGGAAATTACTGATATATCTCCGTGTGGGCTGAATGTAATGTAGTTTATTATTATCAGGGATATTTTCACTTGTTGTAGCTGTAGTGTTTCATTGCCATGTACATTTACACCTACTATTGGATTAGTATTTCACTACCATGCACCTAAAAGCCTACATGTAACCATGCGAGTATAGTGATGGTAGTCTGTAGGTCAGGAGTGTCCACGCTGTAGGTCAGGAGAATGAACAATCTAGTACTTATATAGTTCCTCTGGTGTGCTAATGCAGACAAAATTCCCTGGACACTTGGCAGTATGTGGCATATAAGTGGAATTGTAAAATATTTTCTCGGATTTTTCTGTGTATAAACCAATCTTCTATATGACCCACAAGTAGTTGTCAGATATTGCCAAGTGTTCAGGTAATTTTGTCAGCAACTGTACAGTGTACTGTAGGTCAGGAGATAGTGTATTGTATACTGTACTGTAAGCTGGGAGTGAGTAAACTAGTGTAGTGCTTACAAGGAACTCTGGTGTACAATGTGGCACTGTTCTGACCGCAATTATTTTGATCAGTTGACATAATACCAATGACTTCATAAATGCCACTATTGTTGTAGATCAGTACGCCTTCGTCGTCTTTCTGAAACACACAAAAGATACTTTAACTGTGAGTTTGTCTGTCAGTAAAATGTTCCAGGTTAATTCGTCTCACTTTCAGAGAGGAGGTGAAGGCTTCTGCCGCATGTGGCATTCTTATATACTTGGTACTACTGTACTTGCTTCCATTAGCTTCCTTTCTGATAACTACCTTCTCTGTATTTATATTTTTTCGAAACTTCTGTCTGGCCATAAACGATCATATAGATCATACAAATACATGTATATGAAAAGTTGCAAAAATAACCTAACCTAGCCTAGCTTTAACTAACCTATTTTTGGTATAATTTGGATATCTTAAGACTGTAAGCGACGCCGTAAATGAAACTGAGCAAATTTTACCACATGCAAATAAATTTCCATCCAGTTTTAACAATAATTGTTTTGTTTTATCCCTATTCGGCAATAACTCTGGGTGTTTCATCGCTAATTCATCTTAAGCTGACCACTGTTATGACATTCTAATCGATTCTTCCAAAGTTAAATTACAGAGTTAAAGGCACCACTCTATCCACACACATTGGTTCGTGCACAAAGGAGTTCTCTCTCATACATCTCGATAACAGTGGTACATATAAACTCCTCTCACACTCGCCTCCTCATTACACGCCTCGCTTTTGCTTCTCGTACACTCTACATACTTCGCCATGTCTCATCAGCTCTTTCACTTTAATATGAAACGATAAGAGTTTTAAACACTCACGTTGCAGAGGACATTGTCATACGTTTCGGCACAGAAGAATATGTCGGGAATATCTTCATTCTTGTTCTTCTGACAAGCCTCGTTTGTCCGGATTACCACATCTACTTCTTGCAGGGTCGACGCAAATTTTCCTTGATCTGATAAAGAAAAAAAATATCAATTTATCTTTCAGTAAATGGATTCCTTTATTTGTCATAGAACACAAGCATAATGTTAAGTTACCTAAAACCGTGGAGCAAGATATTCGTGTTTGTGTCCATCTACCTGTGCGTGGTTGACAGGAGCGGAAGAGTGAATACGAAACTTATTTTGCCTGTTTCTTTCTACTTATCTAGATATGTCCCACCAACATCATGATTCTCCTCCAGGGAACACGTCTTCGCACACACACACAGGGTGAACAAAACAAGGCCTCCATCGGTAAACCCACTTTCCCCCTAAAAGTTTACATAAATAGGTATACTTAAGCAAACCATCTGAGTCTAATGAACAGTGTTGTGTCCTGCTCGGTCAACCAAACTGGTAATATTTTAAAGAGATGGTCAGTAATATAGTCGTCTTTAATACTGAAGTCAATTTTACTTTTTGTGATCTATTGTTTATTTTTGTCTGGATTTTGATAAGAGTAGTACAGGGGGAAATTAACATTGTAATAAATCATATGACAAAATATTATATTAATGAGTTTTATTCATACACGTTTCATACACGTTATAATTTCTGCGTAATGTGAACCACTGTCAGCGCTTCTGTTAGGGCAATTACATACTCAAATTTTTTAGGTAGATGAGTGTATAACAGTTTGACATGTATAACAGTGACAGGTGGCCAGCAGCTGAACCCTCTAGTAGAAAACACCTAAATTATTTACGTATCGCCATCGTGATGAAGATAATAAACAAGTGACACTCATTTACACCAAGTACAATAAACTGTATTGATACAATTTGTTGTCGTTAAGTTCAGAGAAGTAAAGTTTATCGCTCACCTATTTTCGTACGAGCCCAGCTAATGACAGCGGCATTTTCTCCCTCGTAGGTATGGTTCGTATCCGCTGGTAGACACACTGGAGCCAGGCCATTGTCGCTCAAGTCTAGTGAGATCCCCATCTTGAGGAGGGCTATGTCGTATCCTTCAAAGTGATTGTCATAATTTTCGTGGATTATTTTCTGAAAAAAAATATAAATTCATGCTTTTCATAAGACACAGAAAGTAATTGTAACTTGATTATTGCATTTTTGTGTACAGAGAATGATTCCGGGTTATGAAAGGCCCATACGACCACGTAGTAATCGCTACAATAAGAACAGCCCAATTCCTACCATTTTAAAATTATCAACAACTCGTAGTTAACAAGTATGTTTACTCCCTGCCAATCTTACTTTTACACAGTTACGAGGTAGAAATTCCTTATTAAATTACTCTCTCCTTGTTATTTAATATACTGTATATGTCACTCAGGTCAATAAATAATCCACTCCCCAATTATGTATATTTTATCTATCTGTTTATTTACGTTAAATAGGAATAACTACAGATTAACGATAACTTCTACATATTTATTTATTTCAATTTTTTTTAAACTTCTGACTGACCATAAACGATCATGTACTGTAGGTCCTAAAGGTACATAAAAATGAAAGGTTTTATACAACACCGAACCTAACCTAGTCTTGCGTAGCGTAACGTAACGTAACGTAACGTAACCTAACCTAATCTAACCTAATCTATCATATGATAATAAACGAATGTCTTAATGAAATAGTAAATATTTCCATGTACAAATTAACTCGTGTGTGTATATATATATATATATATATATATATATATATATATATATATATATATATATATATATATATATATATATATATAAATAAATATACACCAGTCCCAGTAAAACGAGGAGTAATCATTATTTATAATATATCATTTCTATTGAAACAACATTCAACCTCACTCACCTGTTCGACTGAAAAGAAAGCTTCTGAGTCGGCGTCACCCACCCGTACGAAATGGTGGTCAGATCTGGAGAGGTAAAGATCTTGTTGTACTGTATGTCACCTTATAATGAATGTCGACATAGGTAATGCTATTATGATTAATTAAGGTCGTATTTTATACATTTTTCTTATTACAGTTTTTAGAATGCGTGTATAGTTTGAACACAATAAACAACTCATTACTTCTCTATATCCATACATTACGGTCTCAGCCAGCCAGGTGACATGCGCTCAACAAGTCGTATGTACTGTACACACTCAAGGGTTCAATCACATCGTGGCACATTTCAGTGCGCCCTCCAGCAAGTATAGGACATGAGGTTTTCTAACACCAAATAATCTTCAAAAGAACAATTTGTAATTTGTTCCTTACCAAATTCAATAAATGAAATAGGAAAGAAATGTTGATCTGTGTGCAAACCTGATACCAATCAACGATGTTGTTTTTGTACTTGAGTTTAAGCCAACCATTTAAGTGCATGCTTACGAGGAATATTCATCCCTAATTATCATAATTTTCTCAATTTGGACGAAATATTAGCAATATTATAGTAGAATGGTATATGATACTATTATTGACTGAGTGAATAATACCGTGTGTTGAGAAGTGACTTGACCCAGGAAACACTGTTGACAACATTGTTGAACGCTCAACTGTCGCAGAGAACTCGAGAAGTATAGACTCACGCCGAGTGACATCCTCCAGAGTGACAGCCTCGTGAGTGACGACCTCGAAAATACTATCTATCCATATCATACACTATAATAATTATCATCCAATTGACAAAAAATAACAGTATCAGTCCAGCAGGTGTGAAACCGTTGATTACGATGAGTTAACCCTTTGAGTACAATGTCATCGTATAGAAGAAAATTGCTCACCATAATCAGAGGGTTAAGTTATTGTACTCAGGGGGTGCCACCGTAATAGAACGGTAAACCCAGGAACTAAATTACTATATACAATGATTTAAGTCTTCATAGTCAAGGGATTAGGTTTTTATACTCAATGGTTTTTGTTCTCAAGAGAATTGGTCATCGCATTCAGAAGGTACTTACTGTTCAACGCAGTGGGCAGCAGTCATGATCCACACGTCAGATAATATTACTCCAGCACATTTGAAGTGAAAATTTTGGCCTCTCAGTTTAAAAATGGCAACCTGCCAGGGATATTTAGTCGCCAATGCTCCACTTCCTTCAGTGGCGTCGGAGATTCCACATCCTGGATATTGATAATACACCTTCAATTAGGGGCTTCAACAACTATGGTCATTAAGCATGTTTACTAAGTTAGTCTATACTCTAAACCACATCAAACGATAATAGGAAATCAAAGGATTGAAATGATGATACCAGGAAACATAACCTATATGGGCATACACAGAAATTTTAAACAAATATACCAGAAAAGAGGAAATATATGGAGTGGATCCATTAAAAGTAAAGCCAATAAGATCCTGTTTGAGGCAAATAAGTAAAATACACGATCAGAATGTGTAAAAGAACCGTTCAGTAATGATGATGGACTGGAGCCCTTGTAGAGGTATGAAGAGAATAGGAAATATAAGTTGAGGAAGTTGTGAGCCAGAGTAAAAATGAAAACGTTTGTGGGATTTTATTTTTATTTTTATTTTTTTTATGGGGATTAGCCCACCCGGGCATAGGTTACTGACCCACATCGGGGCCTGGGGGGCGAAAATGTAGTAATAATAATAATAATAATAATAATAATAATAATAATAATAATAATAATAATAATAATAATAATAATAATAATAATAATAATAATAATAATAATAATAATAATAATAATAATAACAAAGAACCATAAAGAAATAAAAAAATAAAAAAAGATCAAAAGTGAGAAACAATATATGTATGTTGTGTTGTCAATAGTAAGAGAAATAATTGAGACCCTGCAATTGGGTGTAAGTGAGGCAGAAAGTCAGATCAGCAACCAGGGACTTGGTCACAATTTTCGTGATGCCATATGGCAGCAAGGTCTTCCATAGACAACACATTATGCTTCCAATATCTTCCCAGGCGGTAGTACCTCCCTGTTTGATAGCTGCCTCCTACCTGCTGATGAGATTCCTTCAGAATTTATAAATCAAATGGGATAGAAGGGGATGAAACGTTTGAATCAAATATGTAATATTATATAGGCTATTATTACCTAAAGAGTCAAGAGCCTCAAACTGAATCGACTATAGAACATTTATCTTAACGAGTCATGTCTGCAAAGCTTAATTAAACATAATCTTATATAGAATAAAAACTAAAATAATCAGTGAGTTATATTAAGATCAAAATGGATTTTGAAAGGGAAAGGAACTAAAGAAGCTGCATTAGGTTTGAGAATTTGGGAGGAAAAGGCTTTGGGGTCCATAGAAATTTATATATCTCTTTTATTGGTTTTAATTGGGTTTCGCATAATAAATTAATAAATGTTTTAGATAAAATTGCTATGAATAAATGGTATATTAGAATTCTATAAATTTCTTGCTGGAAACAGGAGACGGCAGTGTTAGTAAATAATGACCTCACCAATTGGTTCCCAGTTAGACAGGGAGTAAGACGAGGCTGCCTCTAATATCCCCAACAATGTATAATATATATTCAGAATTTTATATGAGAATAGTTCTAAATAATAATGAAGGAATAAAAGTTATTGGTAAAGTAATAACCAATAAACACTCTGCAGATGATACTGGTCTTCTCACCGACAGTAAAGAGGACGTTACCAAAACTGTTTGACAAATCAGTGGAAAAGGTTGAAGAATATGGGCTGAGATTTAATGTTGTAATGACGAAATAAATGGTTGTTTTCATATTACAAATAAATTCTAAACTACATTAAGATAGCCAAGAGAGACAAGTTTGTGTGCTTAGGAAGTAGCATTAGCGGTGATGGTAGATATGCAAAAGAAATCAATCACAAGAACAGGTGAAGCTAAAACAGAATTTAATCTAAAAGACCTGATATGAAGGCATAATAATTTTAATTAGAGAAAAACGTTGTTGAAATCCTATGTATGGCCAAACTGGTGTATAGGTAAGAAGCATGGGCACTTTCAGCAGACACCAGAAAGTACAGGTATAAAGCCTTTTGAAATGTGTTGCTACAGGAGACTGCTAAGAATAAGTTTAACTGACAGGAAAACAAATTAAGAAATAGAAGGACTAGCAAAAATATCATTCAAAATATTTGACATTTATAGAATAAGGAAAATTAAACACTTGGGATATAAAATTAGGGATGAAGGAGACACACAGACAACCCCTCACCTCACCTCACCTCTCCGTTCAGGGCGATCTAAATTATCCGCTTTTACAGAAATAATAATAATCTTCTAGTATCATACCTATTGACATCATGTTTTAACCCCGTTCATCGAAAAGGCGAAGCGACGATAACAATAATAACATCCTATCAATGTGTAATATTCATTAATATCATATCAAGGGTTCAAATTTTCCCGGTGTGTGTGTGTGTGTGTGTGTGTGTGTGTGTGTGTGTGTGTAGATGTAATGTATGTGTTTGTATGTGTATGTGTGTGCGTGTGTGTACATACAGGGTGGTGTAATGCGTATAGTGTGGCAGTATTATGTTAGTGTTAAGGTGCAAGCACTGCTTGCTTCCTTTCGTTTTCAGCAGCTGGCTAGCCTTCGTGGCGAACAGGGAAGCAACTTGCATAAGTCCTGCACTGCCAGTACACAGCTTCTTCACCATCAAGACTTCTGCTGGGCCTCCTCGTGGCAACACACGGTAACTGGGTGCCTTGTGAGCCCCAGGCCAAACCAGCAGGGTATCTCGGAGCAGCGGTCGGCTCCAGAGGGACAGCACTTAGGCCCACTGGCATGTGGACGCGTCATGGCGCCTACCAACCAATGCCCTGCTGCCATGTGGATTAACCTTGGTAGGTATAGGGCTACAGGTGTAAACCCGAACGAAAAATCTGTGGTGGAGCCCCGCATCAGGCAGACATGCTTACAGAGCTCCAACAAGACCCCAACGGCGGTATAGGCGGAAGAGGTGACTATACTGGAGGACAAAGGCAATGTATGATGGACAGGCTACTAAGGCGAAACCCAACAAACTGGGCTATCGGCAGTCCATTGCAACTCTCCCTCTCCCCAGTCATTGCAACACTTGCACCACTGAATCAGGAAAAGGAAGAGCCAAGATATGTGGTTGCAGCCTGTGCTCCTGCCTCACCACATAAATCAACTTACGAACAGCCATCATCCAGCACATCATAGTTCTTATCATCATCATAACCCCTATTCCTCAAAAATCCTATGGCGATGGACGAGAGGCGACGGGGACAGGCAGAGATGACTGCCGGGAGTCTCTTAGTCACAACTCTGTACATTGGCGTCATAGATAAGATGATCTTTTATGCACTGGGATTTAGGCAGGAGTGCAATTCGGTCCTGTCTGTGCGACTGAGCAGCCATTTCGAGGAACAACTCTGTTCACCCCACATGGGGAGGGGGCTAGAAAAGGTGCCCCAAACATAGCCTGCCTAAAAAAACAACCAGACTGGGCACCCACACCCAATAAGGTCATCCTTAAGTGGTCTAAAACACAATCATAATCACAGATCAAAACAAAAATAAACTATACAACCTCTTATGGTCCCTGCATGGAATGTCAGGACCCTTCTGGATACTGGCACAAATGAGCATCCTGAAAGAAGAACTGTCCCTGTGGCAAAGGAGATGGCAAAGTATAACATCGACATGGCAGCCATTAGTGAGTCTCGGCTCTCAAACGAGGGTCGACTCACAGAATGGGGTCTGATTATACCTTCTTCTGGAAGGCTAAATCTACTGCGGAGAGAAACTGCATTTATGGAGTTGGGTTTGCCATCCGCCAATGTATCCTCCATAGACTAACTGAAATGCCTGTTGGGATCACGAGCGCCTCTTGACGCTCTGAGTCCCACTGAATCACTGACGTCATGCCTTCTTCATCATTACATATGCCCCAACACTGGATGCAGAAGATGGCATCAAGGAGGCCTTTTACGCCGACCCTGACAAGAGTGCTAACCTCCATCTCCAGAGAAGATAAGGTTGTGCTCCTCGGCGACTTCAATGCCAGAGTTGGCAGAGATGCTGACATTTGACAGGGGATCATAAGGAGAAATGGACTAGGCAAATGAAATTCCAACGGTCTACTCCTCCTCAGCAAGTGTGCTGCACACAACCACACAACTTTAGTCAAATAGATTGGGCCAACCTTATGGGTAACTCAGAATCAGAGGATTTTCTTGAAACAGTTCAGAACTGTTTCCTAAGTCAACAAATAGCCGAACCCACCCTGGGTAATAATATAGTAGATTTAGTTCTGTCAAACAGAGAAAACCTCATAAGTAATGTCAAGGTAGGGAATGAACAAGCTAACAGCGATCACAAAGAAGTGAGAGTCAAAGCAAAACTTAATGTCGGTCACAAGGAAAATTCCATTAAAGTCCCAGATTTTAGAAGGGCACACTTTGATAGGTTGAAAAGGCAGCTGAGAGAAGGGGTATTACGTTTGGGGGTAAATTACATGATTTCACGTGAGGTGACCTCACACAATGTACCTACAGAGGGCGACCTCACTTTACCTGGTAACCTGACAACGATAACCTCACAAAATATGATGTTTGACGATGACCTGATCACGTGATCTAAGGTTAACAAGTTCCACAACAATTTAAATAATGAGTTACTTCATGCACAAAGGCAGAACATACCACACAGAAAACTCAGATCAAACAACAATGACGCCAAAATGGATAAATAATTATTTAAAAAATATTATTGGACAAAGGAAAGCTATCGGTAGGAGAACAAATCATTATGAAATTTACCTCTGAGATTATTATAAGGTATTGGCCAGTAGGGTTAACACCGAGATAAGAAAAGCAAAGAGGAATAATGAACTGAAGGTAGCAAAGTACAGGCTAAAACATCTTAATTTTCCTCTTCTCGAGAGACTTAGAGAGAGGGGCGATATGATCGAGGTGTATAAATGGAAGTCAGGGTTACAGAAAGGTGATATAACAAAGGTATTGAAACGATCCATCCAGGAGCGAACTCGTAGCAATGTTTTAACTTAGACAAATTTAGATTCAGACAAGAGATAGGTGGTAAACATTGGTTTGGAAATAGAGTAGTGGATGACTGCAACAAGTTACCAAACAATATTCTTACTGCATCTCATGGGACATGGGATGTGGTAGAAATGGAGAGAGGGAGGAGTGTTGTTTTGAAGTGAGTGATTTCGTCAGCACCGGGTCCATTAGCGTTCTGATATCGGGCTGGTGGCCATGTGTGTATTAGTGAGGGTCAGTGTGTGTGGTACAGTGAGCAGATTAGGTGGTCTATTAAGTGGTCCGGAGACGCCTTCTAACTGATATCAAGCAACTGTACATCAGTGACCTAACTCAAATAGTTGGTGAGTGGAAACCGAAGAGTTCAGGGTATGGTGACAACTCACCTCTGATCGTTTGCCATTGTACTCACGCATGTTATTCCAACAGACCCGCCACAAGTGAGTGTTGAACATTTGTATTATTGTATTCAGAATTAAGCCAACTTGGGAAGTTAATCACTTGATTGTTATTGTTATCGGATGTGAGTTAAAATATGATGGACACCGTTTGTGTGTTTGTTAGTTACAACTGATAGTGGGACAAGTATTTCCAGGTATGAACGAATAATCATTTGTCGTGTAATCCTGGACGGATCTCATTAAACCCCGCTCTCACCCGAGTCTGGCTACAATCTTCACTACTTGAATAGCCTGGATAGCTCCAAACATAGTTTGGATGGATATATGGGCGATAGGGGTTGGGTGTAAACTGGACTGCCCAGTATGGGCCCATAAGCCCAGTGATTCCTCTGTGTATGTGGAGACCGCTGGTCTGGTTCCTTCTGACCGCCCGACACACCGGCCTGGTTCCTTACTCCTGACCGCCTGACACACCAGCCTGCTGCCTTACTCCTGACCGCCCGACACACCTGGCTGCTGGCTTACTTCTGACCGCCCGACACACCTGCCTGCTGCCTTATACCTGCATGCTGCCTTACACCTGATCGCCTGATGCACCTGCCTGCTGCCTTACTTCTGACCGCCCGACACACCGGCCTGGTTCCTTACTCCTGACCGCACGACACACCGGCCTGGCTCCTAGTTCTGCCTGCCAGATACACCCCCCTGTTGCCTTACACCTGACCGCCCAATACACCTGAATGTTGCCTTACACCTGACCGCCCAATACATCAGCTTGCTGCCTTACACCTGACTTAAAGCTGGGCATTCATTGATAGCTGGCAACGATTCTATGGCAACGACTACCTGTACAGTCGTGACGGAGTACACTTGTCTCGTGCGGGGTAAAGACGTTGTCTGCATCCCTGGAGCGTGAAATTGTCACTCCAAAGGGGTGGGGGGTTCGCCAATAGAGAGAGCTCGGGGAAAGTGGGAGTCAAAAAACAAGCAGGTCCTGGGAAGTAAAATTGGTAACTCAGGACAAGGGGTAAAACAGGACCAGGGAAGAGTAGGTTTAAATGTATACTATACAAACAGTAGGAGCGTTAGAAATAAAATAGACTTGCTGAGACCGGTTATATGTACCGAGAATGTAGACGTCATTGCAATCACCGAAACTTGGATGAATCTGGCGAGCAAATTTTTTTTATCAGAGTACCACATAGAAAGGTACAACCTTTTTCACAAGGATACATTAAAATGTTGTATTAATAATTCAATAAAGGGTGAAATAGGAACCGAGTCTGTTGGGTAGAAATCACGGAAGGAAGAGAAAAACTAATTATGGGAGTGATTTACAGGCCCCCAAGTCTTGGGAAAGAAGCAGCTCAGCCCATATGGCAGGAAATGAGTAGGGCAGCAAAATATAACAACCCTGTGCATTATGGGGATTTCAACTTCAGAAATATTGACTGGGACAACATTGTAGGTGACTATAAATCTGAAGACTTCCTAGACGCAGCACAGGACAATTTTTTGAAACAACTAATTACAGAACCTACTAGAGGTGACAATATATTAGACCTAGTATTAACAAATAAAGAAAATATAATCAGAAATATCACAGTAGGGGAAGAACTAGGTAACAGTGATCACAGAGAAATCAGGTTCACCCTAAATTGGGAAACGAAAAACAATGACAATATGGTCAGAGTCCCAAACTTTCGGTTGGTGGATTATCAGGGGTTAAGAAGGTACCTAGGTGAGGTCACCTGGGAACAGTCACGACAGTCCCCAGTAAGAAGGGGTGAGGTCATAGATGACACAACAATTGATCACTAGTATACTACATAAAGCACAAGAACAAAATATACCATACAGAAAAATTTGGTCAAATAAGAATGAGCCAAGGTGGATGACCAGAAAACTTAAACATGACATAGGAATAAAGAAAGGAATATATAAGAAATTAAAGGGAGGGCAGGAGCAGCTCAGAAATAGGTATAATGAACTATCTAGGAATGTTAAGAAAAATGTGAGGAAAGCAAAGAGAGACTATGAAATCAAAATAGCAAGAGAATCCAAGGCAAATCCCTAGGGATTTTTCCAGGTATATAGAACAAAGGTCAAGGATAAAGTTGGGCCTTTAAAGTCAGGGAGGGGAGAAGTGATAAATGGCAGTGAATAAATAAGCAAAGCATTGAACAGCTACTTCTTATCAGTTTTCACAGAAGAAATTCGAGAGGAAATTCCAGAGGTTGAACTGATATTTAGGGGAAAGGAAGAAGAGAAATTAAAGAATATCACTATCAGAAAGAGGATGTTCTTAAGAGGATAAATAAACTAAAGAAGACAAAATCCCCAGGGCAGGATGAAATTTTCCCTCAAGTCTTGAAAGAGTGTAGGGAACAGATTAGCGGACCCCTCGTAAATTTATTTACAAAATCATTAGACACGGGAGTTGTGCCAGACTTGTGGAAACAGGCAAATGTAGTACCCATATTCAAAAAGGGAGACAGAGCAACAGCGTCAAATTACCGGCCGATCAGTTTGACGTCAGTAGTGGGGAAATTTCTTGAATCAATTATAGCAGATAGCATCCGATCGCATTTAGAGAAAAGCAAATTAATCTACGACTCGCAACATGGGTTTACAAAGGGAAAATCTTGTCTAACAAATCTGCTGACTTTTTCAGGAAAGTCTTCGAGGTAGTAGATAATGACGAAAATTTTGATGTTATTTACTTAGACTTTAGCAAAGCATTTGACAGAGTACCGCATCAGAAGCTTCTGAAAAAATTAAGGCTCATGGTATCGAGGGGAAGTTTTCAAATTGGATAAAATCATGGCTCACCGATAGAAAGCAGAGGGTCAGCATAGATGGTGTTAAATCTGAGTGGGGCCGTGTAACCAGTGGGGTTCCCCAGGGGTCAGTACTAGGCCCACTCTTGTTCAAAATCTACATAAACGATCTAGATACTGGGATCAGCAGTGACATAAGCAAGTTTGCGGATGACACCAAAATAGGGCGCCAGATTAATTCGGGGCAGGAAGCAAATGCATTACAGGAGGATCTAAATAAACTGCAGGGGTGGTCTGAAAAATGGCAAATGAAATTCAACACCAGCAAGTGCAGCGTACTTAATAAAGGAAGAACAAATACTGTCAATGTATACAGCCTTAACAACATCAACCTAGAGAAGTCGACTTGTGAAAGAGACCTAGGGGTACTTGTAAGCCCGGACCTACGGCCTAAAAATGCCTAGAAAACAGTGCGTTAATGTTCGAAATAAGGCAAACAGAGTATTGGGTTTTATATCTAGAAGTGTAAGTAATAAGAGTGCTAGTCAGGCCGCACCTCGATTATGTGGTCCAGTTCTGGTGCCCTTATTATAGAACGGATATCAATTCACTGGAGTCGGTGCAGCGAAGAATGACGAAAATGATTCCGGGACTTTGAAACCTTCCAGATCAGGATAGGTTAAAGAAACTAAACTTGCATTCCCTAGAAAGACGAAGAGTGCGGGGAGACATGATAGAAGTATTTAAGTGGGTGAAAGGAATCAATAAAGGGGATATATATAAAGTTCTTATAATATCCGAGCAGGATAGGACTCGGAGCAACGGATTTAAGTTGGATAAGTTAAGGTTTAGGAGGGAGATAGGACGGAACTGGTTCACAAATAGGGTGGTGGACGAGTGGAACAAGCTTAGCCACTTTGTAATAAGTGCTGGAACGCTGGAAAGTTTCAAAAGGAGGCTGGATAGATTCATGGGTGATAGAGAGTGGTAATAACTCTCCTCGACAGGAGCTGCCATGCACAAGCCAACCGGCCTATTGCAGACTCCTTATTTTCTTATGTTCTTATGTAATAAACTTACCACAGTCGATGGGGCATTCATCACCGGTGGCTCCTGTGGGTACAAAGGAAATATTAATTTACTTCTAGTTAAATGTAATTTATCACATGTGTTTACAATAGGTAAGAATAAATATTTTTGAATTCTAGATGTGATAAACCCAGCTTTTGTTTGTTTTAGGGTAAACATATAACATGGAGCGAATGGAAGCAAGATCAATAGTGTTTCCTCTCTGTGTATGTGGAGACCGCTGGCCTGGTTCCTTACTCCTGACCGCCCGACACACCGGCCTGCTGCCTTACTTCTGACCGCCCGACACACCTGCCTGCTGGCTTACTTCTGACCGCCCGACACACCTGCCTGCTGCCTTATACCTGCATGCTGCCTTACACCTGATCGCCTGATGCACCTGCCTGCTGCCTTACTTCTGACCGCCCGACACACCGGCCTGGTTCCTTACTCCTGACCGCACGACACACCGGCCTGGCTCCTAGTTCTGCCTGCCAGATACACCCCCCTGTTGCCTTACACCTGACCGCCCAATACACCTGAATGTTGCCTTACACCTGACCGCCCAATACATCAGCTTGCTGCCTTACACCTGACTTAAAGCTGGGCATTCATTGATAGCTGGCAACGATTCTATGGCAACGACTACCTGTACAGTCGTGACGGAGTACACTTGTCTCGTGCGGGGTAAAGACGTTGTCTGCATCCCTGGAGCGTGAAATTGTCACTCCAAAGGGGTGGGGGGTTCGCCAATAGAGAGAGCTCGGGGAAAGTGGGAGTCAAAAAACAAGCAGGTCCTGGGAAGTAAAATTGGTAACTCAGGACAAGGGGTAAAACAGGACCAGGGAAGAGTAGGTTTAAATGTATACTATACAAACAGTAGGAGCGTTAGAAATAAAATAGACTTGCTGAGACCGGTTATATGTACCGAGAATGTAGACGTCATTGCAATCACCGAAACTTGGATGAATCTGGCGAGCAAATTTTTTTTATCAGAGTACCACATAGAAAGGTACAACCTTTTTCACAAGGATACATTAAAATGTTGTATTAATAATTCAATAAAGGGTGAAATAGGAACCGAGTCTGTTGGGTAGAAATCACGGAAGGAAGAGAAAAACTAATTATGGGAGTGATTTACAGGCCCCCAAGTCTTGGGAAAGAAGCAGCTCAGCCCATATGGCAGGAAATGAGTAGGGCAGCAAAATATAACAACCCTGTGCATTATGGGGATTTCAACTTCAGAAATATTGACTGGGACAACATTGTAGGTGACTATAAATCTGAAGACTTCCTAGACGCAGCACAGGACAATTTTTTGAAACAACTAATTACAGAACCTACTAGAGGTGACAATATATTAGACCTAGTATTAACAAATAAAGAAAATATAATCAGAAATATCACAGTAGGGGAAGAACTAGGTAACAGTGATCACAGAGAAATCAGGTTCACCCTAAATTGGGAAACGAAAAACAATGACAATATGGTCAGAGTCCCAAACTTTCGGTTGGTGGATTATCAGGGGTTAAGAAGGTACCTAGGTGAGGTCACCTGGGAACAGTCACGACAGTCCCCAGTAAGAAGGGGTGAGGTCATAGATGACACAACAATTGATCACTAGTATACTACATAAAGCACAAGAACAAAATATACCATACAGAAAAATTTTGTCAAATAAGAATGAGCCAAGGTGGATGACCAGAAAACTTAAACATGACATAGGAATAAAGAAAGGAATATATAAGAAATTAAAGGGAGGGCAGGAGCAGCTCAGAAATAGGTATAATGAACTATCTAGGAATGTTAAGAAAAATGTGAGGAAAGCAAAGAGAGACTATGAAATCAAAATAGCAAGAGAATCCAAGGCAAATCCCTAGGGATTTTTCCAGGTATATAGAACAAAGGTCAAGGATAAAGTTGGGCCTTTAAAGTCAGGGAGGGGAGAAGTGATAAATGGCAGTGAATAAATAAGCAAAGCATTGAACAGCTACTTCTTATCAGTTTTCACAGAAGAAATTCGAGAGGAAATTCCAGAGGTTGAACTGATATTTAGGGGAAAGGAAGAAGAGAAATTAAAGAATATCACTATCAGAAAGAGGATGTTCTTAAGAGGATAAATAAACTAAAGAAGACAAAATCCCCAGGGCAGGATGAAATTTTCCCTCAAGTCTTGAAAGAGTGTAGGGAACAGATTAGCGGACCCCTCGTAAATTTATTTACAAAATCATTAGACACGGGAGTTGTGCCAGACTTGTGGAAACAGGCAAATGTAGTACCCATATTCAAAAAGGGAGACAGAGCAACAGCGTCAAATTACCGGCCGATCAGTTTGACGTCAGTAGTGGGGAAATTTCTTGAATCAATTATAGCAGATAGCATCCGATCGCATTTAGAGAAAAGCAAATTAATCTACGACTCGCAACATGGGTTTACAAAGGGAAAATCTTGTCTAACAAATCTGCTGACTTTTTCAGGAAAGTCTTCGAGGTAGTAGATAATGACGAAAATTTTGATGTTATTTACTTAGACTTTAGCAAAGCATTTGACAGAGTACCGCATCAGAAGCTTCTGAAAAAATTAAGGCTCATGGTATCGAGGGGAAGTTTTCAAATTGGATAAAATCATGGCTCACCGATAGAACGCAGAGGGTCAGCATAGATGGTGTTAAATCTGAGTGGGGCCGTGTAACCAGTGGGGTTCCCCAGGGGTCAGTACTAGGCCCACTCTTGTTCAAAATCTACATAAACGATCTAGATACTGGGATCAGCAGTGACATAAGCAAGTTTGCGGATGACACCAAAATAGGGCGCCAGATTAATTCGGGGCAGGAAGCAAATGCATTACAGGAGGATCTAAATAAACTGCAGGGGTGGTCTGAAAAATGGCAAATGAAATTCAACACCAGCAAGTGCAGCGTACTTAATAAAGGAAGAACAAATACTGTCAATGTATACAGCCTTAACAACATCAACCTAGAGAAGTCGACTTGTGAAAGAGACCTAGGGGTACTTGTAAGCCCGGACCTACGGCCTAAAAATGCCTAGAAAACAGTGCGTTAATGTTCGAAATAAGGCAAACAGAGTATTGGGTTTTATATCTAGAAGTGTAAGTAATAAGAGTGCTAGTCAGGCCGCACCTCGATTATGTGGTCCAGTTCTGGTGCCCTTATTATAGAACGGATATCAATTCACTGGAGTCGGTGCAGCGAAGAATGACGAAAATGATTCCGGGACTTTGAAACCTTCCAGATCAGGATAGGTTAAAGAAACTAAACTTGCATTCCCTAGAAAGACGAAGAGTGCGGGGAGACATGATAGAAGTATTTAAGTGGGTGAAAGGAATCAATAAAGGGGATATATATAAAGTTCTTATAATATCCGAGCAGGATAGGACTCGGAGCAACGGATTTAAGTTGGATAAGTTAAGGTTTAGGAGGGAGATAGGACGGAACTGGTTCACAAATAGGGTGGTGGACGAGTGGAACAAGCTTAGCCACTTTGTAATAAGTGCTGGAACGCTGGAAAGTTTCAAAAGGAGGCTGGATAGATTCATGGGTGATAGAGAGTGGTAATAACTCTCCTCGACAGGAGCTGCCATGCACAAGCCAACCGGCCTATTGCAGACTCCTTATTTTCTTATGTTCTTATGTAATAAACTTACCACAGTCGATGGGGCATTCATCACCGGTGGCTCCTGTGGGTACAAAGGAAATATTAATTTACTTCTAGTTAAATGTAATTTATCACATGTGTTTACAATAGGTAAGAATAAATATTTTTGAATTCTAGATGTGATAAACCCAGCTTTTGTTTGTTTTAGGGTAAACATATAACATGGAGCGAATGGAAGCAAGATCAATAGTGTTTCCTCTCTGTGTATGTGGAGACCGCTGGCCTGGTTCCTTACTCCTGACCGCCCGACACACCGGCCTGCTGCCTTACTTCTGACCGCCCGACACACCTGCCTGCTGGCTTACTTCTGACCGCCCGACACACCTGCCTGCTGCCTTATACCTGACCGCCCGACACACCTGCCTGTTACCTTCCATATATGCAATAGATTCTTATCCTGATGTCTGACCTCCAGACTCTACATTTCTTGTGATAATTCAAGTGTAACTGCAAGAGAGAGAGAGAGAGAGAGAGAGAGAGAGAGAGAGAGAGAGAGAGAGAGAGAGAGAGAGAGAGAGAGAGAGAGAGATAACAAGATGAAGATGATGATAGTGCCATGGGAACCCATCATCTTCAACACTACTGTTTCCTCGCCTGTGTTAATATTAGCGTTCTGGAGATGAATATAATGTCAGTAACTTGTGATACTTAATGTAAACAAAGATTACACTTCCATACATCAAGAATTCTGTTTTTTATCTTAAGTACCAGACGTTTGATCACCAAGAGAATCGCAAGTAGAGGAATCTGTAGCTTACATGTGTTAGGTAAACCAGCCAGGAGTACGGTGATGAGATTTGTTCGTAATTCAACCTTATTATCTACCAATATGAGACCCATGAACTTTCTCATCAGGGAGGAATAAAGAGGCTGGATATAAAATACATTTAATCTGGGAGGAAAATACACTGGCGAAGACAGCCTCAGGAGCTAAAGGAATCGCTAAAATCTAAGTGAAAATGTAACACAAACTCACCATAAACACTAACAGTGCAACTGAAGCCAGAAAATACAATTGAAAAATCTGTCTGGAAAAGGACTATCAATTTATTCCCGGTGGTGGTAAGCTGCACTCCGGTTTCCACAACTCCATCATAACTGTCAAGAAGAATAGTACACATTAGTTATAATTTTTCACTATTCAATTTCACAAGTGTTGCCAGAACACCCATATTATACAAGAAAGTAAAAGAAAATCAAATCCAATGAAGCAAGATGTAGAGTTTTCCCGAGGTCCACCAGACTGATGATCAGACCCCTGCCTACTGGACCCTACAACATAACCTAACCACTAGAGATGGGAACCATTGTAATGGGACCTAATGGCTGGGGCCCATTTAAGTAGTCAATAGTAATAACAGCTTTTTCGCGGAAATTTTCAGCACTGCGTCCTGATTCATAATGATTCAGTACATAGTTTTTGTCCCCTAACTGTGTTAAGAAAATGAATCTGGTTTAGGAAGAGTCTCACAGTACTATTGATGCTTCTTCAAGAGTTAAGTTTTGTTTTAATTGAGGCGTTTATGTGCACTCTTACATCTGCTGAAGATTATTATTTAACGTACGAGCCTTTGGTGATCTGAGCCTTGGTTATGACCTTCACAGTTACTTATCAATGTACACCTTGTGAGGAGTAAAAGTTCGTTGTGGCTTTAAAGTTGAAAATGGATTAAAATGATTCTTTTTTCACTTTTAATTTTTATAATACACAGACAAAAACATGTAATATTATGACGTTATTTAATTTCCCAAAGATATTTTTCTACACACGATGACGTTCATTAAGCAAATCAGGTAAAAAACTCCTCTGGTGCCAAGACTTTTACCTAAAACTCACTCTCCACAAGATCAATTCGTAAGATTCCACAAAACAATGGCATCATAAATGTGGCACAGACAAGTACTCAGTGATGAGTGACTTCATTTGTTAAACCTAACTATCACTTATAGCTAAACACTCACAGACTATACTCATTGATGGCTGAAGCAGGTAATGGTGTTTTTACAAACATGATCACTTTGCATTTCTTTAATTTGTTTACTTAAAAAATTTCTCCTGATAGTATAATCTGCGAGTGAGGTGTTTGTCTTACCTTACACTGGCAGGAAGGAAGAAATATAAATGATCAAATATTTCTTCCAATTCGATTGGGCCACACGTGACATCAAGTGTACTGCCCTCATCAGTCTGTTAAACAATCAAAGAAACATTATCAAACAATGAGTATCATAAAATGAATCGTCCATGGTAATAGTGTTTCATTATATAGACAGTGGAAAATGATGTCCAAATAATATCATTTACCCTTGTTCATAACAGCAAACAAGGATATATTTAAGGCAAAAAATCAAATACTTTATCAAAGATATAAATAAATGGTCATTATAAAACTGGTAAACCTTTATATACCCGAGTATTGACGTATAAATTACTAAATTTGGGACGCAACTTGAAAAGAATATGACACACTCACTTCGAAGGTCCATAACTGAAATGTAAAATTGAAGTAATTTCCAGGGTAATTATCAGACTGAATCACGGCCTGGCAAAATGGGCGGAGATAAGTGTAGGTGTCACACTCAGATACAGGTGCTGTATTTTCTGAAATGGTTAGAGCTTTGTTAATGTGTTCCCCACCCGTGTTCAGTTGCAACATACAGTCGGTTCCCTCCACAGTTGTCAGTATCCCCCTCGTCCTACGGGTCACATTTATAATTAGCTTATAGTTGGTGATCTTTGTCTTATATTACAAATTATAAATGCCACATTAACATAAATATGTTTAATACACATAAAAATAACCAAACGGCCTTACATGACCCTCAAGGTAATGACTGGTTTAGTGTCCAGGGAGTTTTGTTCGAAATTTATCTTCGTATTGTTATGAAATTAGAGCAGAGTTAAAGTATAGTTATACCATAAGTAATCATCTCCACAAAACGTCGTGGTTCGTCTCTTTCCAACTTAAGCAAAAATCAGTATTTTATTGTTGGGTGACTTAGTTAACTTCAGTCATACTGTAAGAGGTAGTTCAGGCCTCATTTATGAACTATATATATATATAATTACGTCGAGTGAGAGCCTTAGTGTTTTCGAAGTTCATTGTCGTTGTTTTAGTATCACTGTTATTGCTGGCAGTCTCGCCAGGCTCCACCACCTGACTACCCTGGGCTCCAAAGACGAGATCTTGTTGTTGATCAAAGCCTTGCCACTTGCTGGAAGAGAAGTGAAATAAATACCATCTGTCGTCTGTGTTTATTTTGATACATTAGTTATTATCATGTGGGAGTCAATATATATTCTGGACAATTTGGAGGAAATAAAATTGTATATATTATTTTTGTCTTTAGCGGACAGAAATTATTCAAATAAGTTTATTATAAAGTCATTGTTATTGACAATAAATGCCAATTATACACCAGTATTCACATATCCTATATATTATATTAAATATAAAGGGTGTTTGGGATATACGTTTCCTAATTCTGGAATGTATTAGTGAGACATAAATAAGGATAAATGACTCCATGACCATAGTGTCAATACCCCATAGTCTCTGAGTTATTACCACAACATTGGGTAGGAAAGGACTACAACAAGTCTACGGACATAAATAGAAATTATCAAGCCCTTTTTAAAACAGGTGGTAACTTTCATTTACGGTAAAATACATATCAGATTACATCTATCTGTATATAAATTATACTAATAACACTGGTTCTTTAATTTATACTCTGTAGATTTTATCACCTTCCATTCCCAACTGTCATGTGTTATATCTCAGAAACTATGACACTATGGTCATAGTTATCCTCATATACAGTATGTCTCAGTTATACATCCCAGAATTAAGAAATTTATTTCCGAAACGCCCTGAAAACCCTGCATATATATATATATATATATATATATATATATATATATATATATATATATATATATATATATATATATATATATATATATATATATATATATATATATATGTATATATATATATATTATTGTACTATATAGAGATAAGTGCCGATTAACGATATATAGATTTTTCTTTTCTTGGAAATATAATACATGAATAGTCATACAAAACCTAACCTAATCTAACCTACGTTAGGCATAGTTAGCTTATTTGATGATGGTAAAATACGTCTTAAATAAAACAGAGAAAGTTAATTCATATACAAACAAATTTCTATTACGTTATAGCAATACATCCAAAAATGATCCATATTTGGCAAAAATCTGTTGCCTTTTAAAGCTTACCCGGCGGTTATCTCTCGTTAACCTGACACGTATATACTGTGTGTAGTACGGGGTATGTGTTGTATTATCATCACAACTTAATACTTTGCTTAACGTAAAGGATGATAGCAGACTTACCTGATAGCATCAAATGACTTGGCGTCACACCTGAACCACACACACTGAAAAAAATATATCAAAATCCATCAGCAGAAACTTGCAGTAAGTGAACAAGTTTTTAGAATATTTTGAAGGCAGTTCAATAAAAAAAACACTATTGAAGGATTTACTAATTAACTTAGTAAATATTTTTTATCAATTCATTAATCACCAAATTGAAAACAGAAGTTTACAGTTTTGACCAAAAGTAAGACACCTGTGACTTACTGAGGAAAGGTATGGCGTGGAACACCTCCATCCATTAAGGTAACAATAACAGTCCTTATCTCTGAGACAACAACAGCAGCGTGTTTGTTATCTTGCCATAAAGCGTAAGTCTTGAATGTTTTTGTTGTGTTAATTAATAAAATGTGAAATGCATGTTTATATTATCTGATCTGTTTTTCCATTCTTGTCTATTTTTACATAAACGCATCATTCCCGTAGCAGCAAGGAACCGTGTTTTGTTTTATACTTTTGCCAGTTCCACTCACTCCACTGTAAATCTTATGTTGCCTCCATAATTGTTACCTCTCATGTTCGAGGCTGGCTGGCCAATGGGCCACCTCGCCATGAAATTATTTAAGGTGTAGGAACTATTGCTAATATAACAACTGCACCCTAAGTTAGCTGTATGACTCGGTGTCAAGGAAAAATCCAAGAAGACAGGAAAACTCGCCCTGTACTGGCTACCCATTACCCCGGACTACAATCCGCAAATTGATTAACATCCGTGTTCCCATTTAATGTTGGGTGGGTAAAGGTAAATGGCGTAATTAAATTTACACATAAATTCAAACCGACTGGGAATCGAAACCGGGATCATTCGTTTGGAAAAGCAAGTATACCGACGATTACACCACAGGCCAAGCGAGTATACCAACGTTTACAGGCTTTGTGTGCAATATAACAGTCTAAAACTACTTTTAGTATCCTGGTGGTCTAGAGGTAGCATTCCCCGGTCACAGTCTTGGGCCGTGGGTTCGAATCCTGGCCGGGTGAGGTTGTGATTATATATATATATATATATATATATATATATATATATATAGTCCAAGCAATACCTCATATATATATATATATATATATATATATATATATATATATATATATATATATATATATATATATATATATATATATATATATATATATATATATATATATATATATATATATAATGTATATAGTACAAGCAATACCTCACTAGTCATACCGTACACTTAGTTCCCGTGGAGTGACTAACGCTTGTTTGTGTAAATGGTCGCCTTGTTGAGTTACATCGCTCACGGCTTCAGTTGTTGTCCTCACCCAGCTAAAACCGAGTCATGTTTTTCAGAGAAAATTAACTCGTAATTCACAATTATTTCACCATCCAATAACCAGGAGCCTTCCAAACCTCATAGGCCTTTTTTCTGCATTATTAATGGTGACACAATTTTGTAGGAGGAATTAGTGACAGCCGAATGCCTTTCTACAGAGAACGACGGTTGGTGCGACTAATCGTGTAGCAATTATGTTTGGCGGGAGTTAGAAACACAAGACCAATTCTCTGTGGGCATGTGTGTGTTAGGAGTGTTGAACGGTATGGCTGGTCGGCGGTCATGGCTGTGGTCAGCCCTTCTTACAAGACAACATAAAATTATATTATAATATTTCATTATTCTCACGTGTCTTATACATTATCTTTATTATGTAACTAACAACCAGCCCCCCCCCCCTCCCCAATTGTACAGCCTTTTTCACTTCCAACTGGTATAATCAGCGTTGTCATTGCACATTCTCCGTGTTGTGTGAACCCCGGGAGTATCGAATTTGAATCTGAAGCATTCACGAGCTAGGGAGAGAGGGAGGCCAGGGGAGGACTGGAACCGGTGTGAGTGGGTGGCGGGCTAATGCGGGGTTTGAGGAGGGTCAGAGTGTAGGGGGCTAGACAAGGCTAGAAGGGTGGGTAGAGTTAAGCAGTTACCAGGGCAGTTACAATGCAGGATATATTAAGCAAGGGTATAAATACCCAGGACAAAACACACAGTATGAGTAGAATGTGTTACAGCACATACGGGTGGTATTCTCAGCTTGTGTTACAGGTCTGAACCATTTATGCATATTTACTGTCCAGAATTTACGAGATCATTGGCCACAGTGACAACACAACCCCTCCCCCCAAGGCGCACACACATGTACCTGCCATGAAGTATTGCCTCCCTGTCCTTCCCTCCTGCTGAAACCTAAGCAACTGTCACTTATTCCATGGGTGATAGAGGGATAGGCTGGGGCATCTACATATGGTGTCCATTTACGACGGGGTTGTATTTATAACCCACTGAATAACAGATGCATTGTAATTTAATTGCATAATCATCATCACAGTATTAGTGTAATGAACAATAAGAATATACCCAAAAAGTTGTCAAACACAATTATTTTAAGTAATAACACCATGAAAATAATACATTAGTGAACAGAAGTTATATCTGTATTATTCATTTATTGATTTATTTATTACTATTATTATTATTTTTTAATACAGATTACTGTACTACCTATCTGTTGTCTACTGGACGGTGAGGTGAGGTGACGTCGGGAGTATGGGGTACAGTGGGTGTTAGCGCTGGGCACAGTTTAGGGCACTGATGCACCGTGTTTAGTAAGCAATCCCCATTATGTGAATGCAGATACTTTATAATTTCTGGTGTTTGTTTAAATTGGGAAACATCAATAACAAGTTGTATTATGTGGACATAAAACACAGCTTTCTAACTTTTGGCAATACCTGTGCCACGGCAATGTGTGCCGTTGCATGGGGAGAAACGTTATATATATATATATATATATATATATATATATATATATAAGAATTTGTTGTTTGCTAGACTACAATATCATATCATCTAATAGATTAAATTATATGATGGTGTTGCTAAGAGATTATGCACTGGCATCGCGGAAATCATATACTTTATGGTAAAACGGCAAAAAGGTGAAAAATGAAGAAAAAATCGGCTATAGCCATTGTCTCAGATTTCGAGGCATTATACGAAATGTGTGTAGATGGTTATAATCACGTAGGTGGAGGGTGACACACCTGAGTGTGGGAACATAAGTGTGGTGAAGGTGGAGGGTGACACACCTGAGTGTGGGAACATAGTGTGGTGAAGGTGGAGGTGACACACCTGAGTGTGGGAACATAGTGTGGAGTGTTGTGGAGGTGGAGGTGACACACCTGGACACACACCTGAGTGTGAACTTAAGTGTTGTGGAGGTGGAGGGTGACACACCTGAGTGTGGGAACATAATGTTGTGGAGGTGGAGGGTGACACACCTGAGTGTGGGAACTTAAGTGTTGTGGAGGTGGAGGGTGACACACCTGAGTGTGGGAACTTAAGTGTTGTGGAGGTGGAGGGTGACACACCTGAGTGTGGGAACATAAGTGTGGTGAAGGTGGAGGGTGACACACCTGAGTGTGGGAACATAAGTGTGGTGAAGGTGGAGGGTGACACACCTGAGTGTGGGAACATAAGTGTGGTGAAGGTGGAGGGTGACACACCTGAGTGTGGGAACATAAGTGTTGTGGAGGTGGAGGGTGACACACCTGAGGTGTGGGAACCCAAGTGTTGTGGAGGTGGAGGGTGACACACCTGGGTGTGGGAACATAAGTGTGGTGAAGGTGGAGGGTGACACCTGAGTGTGGGAACATAAGTGTGGTGAAGGTGGGGGCACTTTGGGTGAGTGGGAACATAAGTGTGGTGAAGACGGAGGTGACACACCTGAGTGTGGGAACATAAGTGTGTGGTGAACACACCTGAAGTGTTGTGGAGGGGAGGGTGACACAGAACATAAGTGTTGTGGAGGTGGAGACACACCTGAGTGTGGGAACTTAAGTGTTGTGGAGGTGGAGAGGTGTGAGAGGTGGAGGGTGACACACCTGAGCAGTGGGGAAGTGTTGTGGAGGTGGAGGTTGAGGAGGTGGAGGGTGACACACCTGAGTGTGGGAACATAAGTGTTGTGGAGGTGGAGGGTGACACACCTGAGTGTGGGAACATAAGTGTTGTGGAGGTGGAGGGTGACACACCTGAGTGTGGGAACTTAAGTGTTGTGGAGGTGGAGGGTGACACACCTGAGTGTGGGAACATAAGTGTTGTGGAGGTGGAGGGTGACACACCTGAGTGTGGGAACATAAGTGTTGCGGAGGTGGAGGGTGACACACCTGAGTGTGGGAACATAAGTGTGGTGAAGGTGGAGGGTGACACACCTGAGTGTGGGAACATAAGTGTGGTGAAGGTGGAGGGTGACACACCTGAGTGTGGGAACATAAGTGTGGTGAAGGTGGAGGGTGACACACCTGAGTGTGGGAACATAAGTGTGGTGAAGGTGGAGGGGAACAACTTGTGTGACGGAGAGATACTGACCAGAAGTGTAACGGCAAACACCAGCTTATTGGCTCTCATGGTGACGGGAAGCAGCTTGTCTGGCTTATCGTCAGCTTAAGAGACACACTCACTCAGGAAGAGATCTTTGAGCGCTATGTTGACGAAGGCTGGTGACAGTGGCCCTCTGGTGATGATGGCCAACTAGGCAAGCGGTTTTATACCTTGGTCGGGTCCCACCTGTGCCTCACACCTGTGCGCTGACACGTGTATTGTAAAACCTTCGTACCAACCACAAATTTACAAGGGATTCACAAAATATGATCAAAATGGTTAATTAAAAGTTTCTAAACATCCTCGTTCTTCCACGATTGAAAGACCGAATTAAAAGAAAATAGGAAGAATCCAGGTTGAAGTTGAGGGTAGCTATAGAGAGGTTGTAGGTGGCGTGTGGTGGTGGTGAGGGGGAGTGGGGTGGTGACTTTTTAACTTAAATCAAAGATTATAAATTTAGGTGCCAATATGTGAAATTGTAATAACAACATTGAAAATAACACTAAAAATAGAAATATTAATAACAGCAGAATGGTAGTCGGCAGCTACCAAACAGGGAGGTACTACCGCCTGGGAAGATATTGGAAGCATAATGTGTTGTCTATGGTAGACCCTGCTGCCATATGGCATCACGAAAATTGTGACCAAGTCCCAGGTTGCTGATCTGACTTACTGCCTCACTTACACACAATTGCAGGGTCTCAATTGTTTCTCTTACATGTGACAACACAACATACATATATTGTTTCTCACTCTTGATCTTTTTTCATTTGTGTAGGTCTTTATTATTATTATTATTGGTATCATTAATATTTTTATTTCTATTATAAATTTTATTTATTACGAATTATTATTATTATTATTATTATTATTATTATTATTATTATTATTATTATTATTATTATTATTTTCGCCCCTCAGACCTCGATGTGGGTCAGTGACCTGTGCCCGGGTGGACTAATCCCAGCAAAAAAAAAAGAATAAATAAATAAATAAATAAATATATAAAATAAATAAATAAAACAATAATGAAATAATGAAAATAAATATAGTTATTTTAGTAGCAGTAATAATATTACTTTACAGCTCATTTCTGAGAACTGGGTATATAAAGCACTGTATTCCAGAATACAACAGACTAACTATATTTCGTAGACCATTACCGATACGACATGAGTGCAAATAGTTGTTGTGAGCACACTGTAGTTATCTTAATGTATAGGAGCAGATGTATAGATTTACTTCACACTCACGAGCAATGAGTGTATCCCTTCAAAATTTTTCACAGAAAACACTCACATACCTTTTGAATTTTTATCATCGTTAATCACAAAGCATGAACACATTTATGTCGACACTACACCTTAGTCACTCTCTTATATAAACCAGGACTCATTAGATAACTAGCCCACTAGCCTGACTTCGTTAGAGTTAATTCTGTAAAGTACGCCAAGAAAACTGCCTCCACTACATCAGAAAAAAACGCACATCAACAAGAGTAAATATTTTACTCCTCTGAATCAATATAACAGTATTTGCACAACATTAAATTTCTCATTATAACATCAATGTCGGGTGTGTAATTGTGTTTGTCTAACTCACGAATTTGCAGCTGAAGACGTTCTAGCGAGTCAATATCTCATGAACTCACTTAAATGACCTCTGTCTAGTAGCAAAATATATCATTTAAGGATATGAGCGGGGGCAATATGAGGGTAGTTTCCTGGGTCGACATGTAATAAGACTACTCCCAGTTTAGCTCGTTAAATGAAGTTAACTCAATTATCATTAACATAAAACTTCATGGAAATTCCTGAGATAACAGTAGAGGAATGTGTAACCTGGAGGGCAAGGAATAAGACCAGGTGAACGAATTATATATATATATATATATATATATATATATATATATATATATATATATATATATATATATATATATATATATATATATATATATATATATATATATATATATACTATATATATATATATATATATATATATATATATATATATATATATATATATATATATATATATATATATGCAAGTAAATCACTGTAGGTGCGCGTGATCTAGGTATATGCTGATAACATATATATATATATATATATATATATATATATATATATATATATATATATATATATATATATATATATATATATATATATATATATATATTCGAAAAAGTTTAAGGTATGAATAATATAAGTGGTAAATTTTAAAATTGTTGACCTATAACTACTTCTTGTATTCTGTACAATGGGGTTGACAATGGATATATTCCCCACACTTTACATTCTGATGAGGCTAAGTCCCCCCGACAACCCCCACGCCCCGCCTCACAATCAACGGCCATGATTACAGGATGGACGGCTTATGCGTGTTTTATTCAGTGTTTCAACAGCCACCCCTCCCCCCTCTGAATGACCTCTCGAAGCCTGTCCGTCGTTTCTCACAAGGTGCGGTCTGGCGCCATCAACTGCTCCGGTGTGCTCTCCCTGGCTGGTGTTGACCTTATGCACCAAATATGAGTATGATAGGGACAATAGGGAAGGTGTTTGGAGTATGGGAGACAAATACTTGGGTCGGGGAGAGAAAATAAGAACAGGAGAATGGAAGAAACTGCAGGGGGCCTATTGGTCTATACTGGGCACTCCCGCTTACACCCAACCCCTATCGCTCACATTCCATCCGACCTATGTTTGAAGCTACCCAGCGTATTCGAGTTAATGATGATGTTTGGTAACTTGTTCCACTCATGCACTACTCCATTTCCAAACCAACGTTTACCTGTCTCGCGCCTAAATCTAAAATAGTCTAATTTAAAACCATTGCTACGAGTTCGCTCCTGGTTGGATAGTTTGAGTACTTTTGTTATATCACCTTTTTTTAGCCCTGACTTTCATTTATGCACCTCAATCATATCGCCCCTCACTCTATGTCTCTCGAGGGAGTGTAAATTAAGATGCTCCAATTTGTGAGAGTTGTTCACTACAATTACTAATATGTTTTTACCATGATATAAAGGTAACCACATATGATTACATTTCAAATGAAATTATAATGTGATTACTGCGTAAAACATTGTGGATGTGTTATTTCCAAGAAACAAAATTGCAATTAAGGTTTGCTATGCGCCTACCGGCACATCACGCATACTATACTTCAATTCAATTTCAATTTCAATTGTTTATTCCTTGATAGAGGAAGCGGGATCCTAGTGCTGTCACTAGGTACCCCTGTACAATGACACCAGAATCATCTGGCAAGTGTGACAAGTATATACAGTATAAATAATATACAGGGGCTTACTAAAGCCTAAGGAAGGAAGGATATTCCTTTAACACATAATCAACATTATTTACAAAATATCTGGCCAGTATTGGGAGGATCATCGTGTCTCCGTCAGGGGGTTGTGGAGTGGTGGTCCAGCAGGCGTCACGGAAGCGTTGTGTGTGGGGACATCTTAGGAGGTAGTGAATAAGGGTGCGGCTGTCGGGTCTTCTGCATAACGCACAAGAGCGTTGCTCAGGGGATGCGGGGATACCAATCTCCCAAGCAAAGTCATACCCAATGATGATACGGGCAGCAATCACGTCCCCCTTCCGCGACCCTTTCCCGTAGACGTACGAGAGGTCAGGAAGTTTACGGAGGACATCGTACCAGGTGGGCGGGGAGTCCAGGGGGATGGCTGCTTCCCGAGCTTCTCTCTGTTTGCGGCGGATTTGGGTCCTAATCTGTAAGAGTGTTCGAGGAACAACGTAGTCAGGTGTGGCCTTGTTGCAGCCAGTCTTGGCAAGGTCATCTGCTGCCTCATTCCCCAAGATACCGACATGACTAGGTATCCATAGGAATGTCACAGGACGGCCTGCATCCTGAAGTGTGGATGTTAACCCTCGTATTCGGAGGATGAGGTCCTTATTTTCCCCTGATCCAAATGCGATCCCGTCGAGAGCAGACCTGGAATAGCAGCAGACAAGCAAGGGGCAGAAACCATCTGCTTCTTCCTCAGCGAGAAGGGCAGCAAGGAGTGCTATTAGTTCAGCCTGAGTGGAGGATGCCCCGTCAGAAACTCTGAGAGACAGTTTGATAGGCTCAGGGGCATGAGGACGGGAGATGTAGACACCAGCCCCGGCCCTACCTGTAGCGGGGTCAACAGAACCATCAGTGTAGAGGACGAAACTACCTGGGGACCAGTGAGCGATCCTAGAGAGGTGGTATTTGCAGAGAATAACAGGGTTCACCTGGGATTTCGGGAGCGGTCCACCGAGGGCAATCACTTCAGGTTGAAAATCCAGCCAGGGAGAAGGAGACGAACCAACAGCAGGGGTGACAACAATATCAGGCAGGAGGTCGTGTTCCTGAAGGGCTCGGATGAGTGACCCTCGCCACTGTCTTCTAGATGGAGGTCGGTCTCCAACAGCAGTAGTCAAGTTGGTTTGGACATAGTTGCCCCTAGGATCCCGTAGAATGGAAACGGCAGTTTTTAGGTAAAACTCCTGGACACGATCCTGTAAGGGGGAAAGACCAAGTTCGTTATATAGAGAAGTAGTGCGTGTCCACTGAGGAGCCCCAAGGATGATACGAGCAGGTTTCCTCTGGATAACTTCGAGACGGTTGACAGCAGTCCGACTAATGTTGACGAGGGCAGGGGCGGCGTAGTCGACACAGGAACGGACAAAAGACTTGTACATGGTGAGAAGTACAGGGATGCTGGCACCAAGGGAACCCCTGCACATGGTAGAGAGGGGAGCGAGACGCCGAAAACATATGTCTCGAAGATAGCGGACTTCAGGGATCTGACAGCGTGTGCGAGTTACATACACACCCAGGTATTTTGTCTCATTAACCCAGTCCAAGGGCGTTCCTGATAAGAAAAGGGGTGGAGGTACAACACGACCGTGCCACATGGCTTTTGTTTTCGCAGTTGAAAGAAGGAAACCAAGTGAATCACACTCTGGAGACCAGATCAAGGGCTTCCTGCATGCTGAGGTAGTCAGGGGCTTGGAGGAGGACATCGTCGGCATATCCTGAGTGGACAACTTCTGTCGGCCACGGGAGTGATGCAATGGAGTGCATGAGAGTGTTAAACAAGGTGGGACTCAGGACTCCACCT